CCCTGTCATCACTGTGTCAACAATAAAATCATAGACTAATATCACAAAGGCAACAATGACATCATTAAGATAAAAGAGTTCCATTGGTATTTCTGTATCAATTTTTAAGACTTCAGGGCTTAATTTTCCAGATTTAAATGGATTGTAACATCTCGTTCATCAGATCTTTCCAGCATCTACAGCCCTGTAACAGCACTGTGAGCCACCTTCCAGTTTCTCTGAGATGTTCTACAGTTTAAACTCAGAGCTGATTCAGGTTAGCAGTGGAACAGTTCAGCTTTCACTCTGAGCTCTGTTACAGACCACAGTTACAGACCCAGAAAGCAGCCGTAGAAAACTTTATGCACACATTCAAGCTATGAGGCTGTGTACCTCTCATATATATCACCCAAATGTTGATGACCCCTCATTTGTCACTGCTTTGTCACTCTTCAATCCTCATAGGAGGGACTTCAACCTGGAGTCTGACTCAGGAGTAGACAGGCTCACTCTCACAGGGAAAGTATCGGTCAACAAAGATTACTGATCAATCAGTGGATGATCTTGGTCCGTGAGGCTTGGAGTGGATTCTTCTTCACCAACACAGGAACATGTGTCCTCTGTGTCCACCATAAAGTGCTGTTGCTGATCGTAAATAGTCACTGACATGGTCATGAGGCTCTTCTTGTGCTTGTGCTGAGCAGCTGGCATCTTCTCTCTCTCTGAGGCTTCTGCAGACTCCCTCCTGTGGTGATTTCAGTTGCGCGGCAAAAGTGGCTCGTTGGTCTAGGAGTATGATTCTTGCTTAGGGTGCGAGAGGTTCTGGGTTCAAATCCCGGACGAGCCCTTATAATTAAATACAGAAATACTGGATATATAGAGCAAAAAAGTGGTTCAAATAGGAGGATTAGCAAGAGAAATCCTCTGATGAAGGTGACAAAGGCTACAAGCCATGGGTGTGAACATTACCTATAATCGCTACTTGGCCCAAAAAAGTTTTATAGAATTACATGAAGCTTTCACTATCAGCGAGGGGTGGAGAAGGTTTAGAGCAGGTGGATTTTGGTTTGAGTTTTGGTCTCAACTTGCCACATTTCCACTAAACATTACTGTCAGAAAATGAGGCCCAAGCATGGGAGGAGGAAAGAGAAACATGGAGAACCATGTGATGCTATCACTGAGCTGTGACTTTGATTCTTGAGAATTCTCCAGCTGTGGATGTTCGATGCGCTGATTTTAAGCGTTTTGCCCTATGTAGGGCTCTAACCCACAACCCTGTGAGTAAGAATCTCATGCTCTGTCAACTGAGCTAGCCAGGCCAAATGCATGCTAACAAAGTTGTCTCTTTGTGCCATTATTTTTAAGTTTTACTCACTAAAATTGTGCCTCCATGGGGTCGTTCAACTATCTTTTTGTTAAGGGCTGTGAGTTTCTGCTAATAAAGCATTTATGTTGTGTGGTCTCCGTTTCAAGTTAAATCAGACAGGCAAACATTACAAGATATCAAATTTTATTTAGAGTCTTGATGCACCCCCCTTACCTCTACTTTTCCTCTAAGAACCAACATTTAATGAATGACGACATACATGACGCTCGGGAATGCCTGCTTTTTGTTTTTGAATCTCAAAAAGATTATTCTGTTTTTATCGATTCTTGTTCATATGTGTCAGCAAAGTTCAACACCCCTACCCTTTCCCCTTAGCCAGAGGACGGTCACCCCCTCTGTCCACCCCTGGCCCACCTACCGCCCCAAAATGTGTATATGTATATATTATATTATTATTATTGTTGTTATTGTATTTTATTGTTGTTGTTATGTTTACTTTTATATGTGAAAAATAAATTTATTTTGGGATAAGCTTGTTTGGAATTATTTATTTAACCCTTATACTATGTTGAAAAAATTTATATTGATTATGTTGCTGGTCATTTTGACCCGTACTATGTAAATGAATGCAAAACAGGTTAAACCAATAAACAATTAACTAATGTTGAATAAACCTTTAGAAAAGTGGCATACAATACAATTTTAATTAAATAATAAACACTTTAATTAATATCTATTTTGTGTGGGTGTTTTCCCTCATCACAAACACGTTTGGGAATATTACTGTGCACTTTCTGCAGATGTAATTCTTACATTTCACACACGAGTTACTTATTTTACTATTGTCTTGGGAGGGACAGACCTGGGCATCTGGGCTTTTCATTTTCTCTTCACCTGTCCACTGGATGCTGGTTGAGGGACCTGAGCTTGACCTGTTCAAAGATCAAGCCGGCCTGACTCGAGTCTGGATCAAACCGGCAGTCTTGCTCTCACAGCTGTTAGTTGCTGTGATTCTTGAAACATATGTCTCCCCTCCAAGTTGCTCATTTCCAGTATCATCCTCTCTATTGGTGGGGATATGAAGCTCTGAAATGCTGATGGATTAAAACTACTCTTGTATGACCAGTAGTAATATGGATGTGGTGATGTAGACCCTCAGACCCAGATCCTTCACTCACACCTTGGTCTGGGTCTCAGAGGTGGATTTTTTGGATCTGAACAGCTACTTACCCACATTAATGTGGCCGGGTCAAAATGACCCGCAACATCATCTTTGTATACAAACTCTGCACAGACCCCCCCACAACACATCAAAGTGACCAAATTTCACACACGAGTTCATGACCCCAGATGAGGAAAAGTCACCTAATTTCATGAAGACAAAAAAAGGATAACCAGCCCTTTGATCAACACAAAAACTGAAATGGGTCCAATTGAGGGTTAACACATACTATTTTAACACAATATTATGTATTGACTTTAATTCAGTGTAATCACGTAATCAAAATCAAAATGGCCGCGTCTTGGACGGGCGGAGTTGGACGTTGGATGGGCGGAGTTGGACGTCCAAAATGTCCTGCAGGGATATGTACTTGGGGGGGGGGAGGGGTTAGCCACGCCCCCTGGGAGGCCCCGCCCACTGGAGGAGGCAGAGGCCCCGCCCACAGGGAGACTCTGCCCCCAGAGGGTCAAAGGCCCCAGGAGTTTAGCAGTTATCATGTTCATAACACTTGGAAAATGTCTCCCATTAAAAACCTGCAGATAAAAGCTGCTTGCTGAAAAATGTTGTGCAGATGTTTCTTGTCATGATCTGTTGTGTTGTAAATACTGATGAATACACGGTTGAGAGGCCACAGTAAGCACTCATTTTACAGTAGATTTAGCTATCTGAA